ATGGAATATGCACTAGTACTATACAAAAAAATATAATCTCTTATATATCATATATATGAACAAAAAAAGATCATTGTACATATTGCTGTATTATACACTATACAGCCTTTTGCAAAAATTATGAGAATTGTCGAAATATCTAAATATCTTAATATCGAGTGCATGATGGGTAATCCCGCGCGATGCCCTTAGTCCCTTGTCTTTGTAGTTTAGGTTTTATTTTGGCGGTAGACTTATCCATAGTTCTGAACATTTTCTTGATGTCAACAATGAATTATTCTAGCAAACCCGCGTGTTCCRGAAAATATATGGATATGRATATTATGATATTTAGATATTTAGACAATTCTCATAATTTTTGCAAAGGGCTGTATAGTATATAGTATCACAATTTTTCAATATAGTATATACCATCACCACTGTTCCTCAAACTTACCATTTCCTGGTAATGTTGGTGGCACTGTTGTTGTMGTTCCTGCTGTCAACGTTGTTGATGCTGTCGTTACTTCCGTGTCTGTTTCGTTCTGTTGGTTTTTCACTGTTGGTGATAATTTGGCGGTCAGTGGTCTCCTTTCAGCCGTGTTTGGTTTGGGTTACGCGTCACGCAACCTCTCCACACAGAGCTGCGTGACGCGTGACTGAAACTAAACAAAGAGGTTGTGTGACGCGTGACCGAAAGAGTTTTTGTTCTGTGATGGCCAGTGATTGCACCAATATAAGAAAATTGGCGAAAGAAAAGCTGTACGTTCGACGTCGAATTCGCGTATCGCCTTTTAAAATATCAACATTCATTTTAAATGATGTATCATCTAATAATCCAAAATATTCCTAATTGTGAGAATAAAAGTGTGAGATTTCAAATCAATTCTATTTAAGCGTTTTCTCGGGCTATCAATAAGACAAAAGAATATGTTGCTTGGTTTTGAGGCTAACACAGAGCAAAYCCGAACTCTAAATTGGAGTATTCAAGCATATACCTCATTAGCTTGGCGAAACCAAGTGAATTGAACTTACTTTCGCAGGAATTTCTATCAAATCCTTGCTTGCATATGCAGGCCTCGTGACTTGCCTCACCAAGCGAGTAGCACTGTCCACCATTTTGACACGAGTTAATCTTGCACTGAATAAAACACATTAAATAAAAAATCAAATAGGAGACGAAAATGTTTTGAAAGCTGTTGAGGTTATGTACGATGTTTTACTAGAGTTTACCAAGGCAATGGCAATGTACGATTTAGTCTCCTATTTGATTTTTTTGTACGATGTTTTACTAGAGTTTACCAA